AATGAAAGTCTCATCCCTTTAATAATAATGACATAACTGTATCTCTTTAAATGCAGAAAAATAATAAGTCTCAACATATCAATATACTACTGTCTAAGATATACATGTATGCACATAACATTAATAATTCCCAGTTTATATTAAATAAATATGAAATCCTAACATTAACATTAACATGCTTTTGATGACCTTACAACTGGTGAATTATATACAACAAAAATAGTATTATAAGTAATACCTAAGATAGACAGAAAAGAACAAATAATTTAGTAAACATGAGTTACTTCCCCTTAAAATAAAGAAAACCTGAAACCCAAAAGAACACCCTAAACAGCAAAATTATGAAATGCTGCAGGTTCAGTTTTATCAAGCCATGCAAATTAATGGTAAAGTATTCATAAAAAAATAGATGGCCATGTGTCAGCAGTAATTGCAGAAAGTCGGATAGCTTTCAACATCCGGATACTGGTACACTTTGTAAAAACAACCATTCTGCGCAACAGATAAATGTAATAAGAATAAAATCAATAGGATAATCGTTTACAACAGTTCCATTACCTATCCTTATACTCAATTGCAGGTGAACTTTCTTCTTGTAGGAAAATTTTGAAAATGTATAAATGAATGAATGAACTGATACGGCCTCAATCTAGACCACAACGATATTCGAAATCCGGGTTTTAGTATTGTCATTAAAACTAAGGGACAAGCTGTTAAACTTAACCTGCAATTTCGTGAAAATAATATCACAATGCACATGCTTTTTACATAAAGTTATTAAATACAAATATAACAACACATTTGTTTACTTGATTTTTACGAATCAAAATAAAACTAATTAACACAACATGAAATTAACTGCTAATAATAACAGCTCCTTCCATAGGCAAAAATAAAAAGCGTTCCATAATAGACGACGCCGCTCACCGGCGTCGCCAATGACAAGATACAAAAAATATCATATTTGTAGTTGTTTTGGTAACAAAATTGTTTATAGCTCCAAGGTCTCTTAGCTAACTGGAGAAAAAATGAAAACAATGTCTTCATCATTAAAAAGCTACTGTATGCAAAACAAATAACATAAAGCCAGTTCCACATGCAGATAATGTCAGTGAACAGTATTGCAAAATAAAAAAAATATCAAAAAAAAAAAAAAATCTGCTACATATTTATTTTATTGCAATGATTTTCTTAGCATTTCATTTGGTTGCCTTGACTTAAAAGTGCATTTATTTTATAGTGTGTGGTACATTAATTGGCCCACACTAATTACCCACATTAATTGCCTATATGTGAAAGTGTGTGTAGTAGAGGCTAGCTAATTATCTATATGATGTGACAAGCGCCTGCCTATATTCCATGTAATATACTGGTGTGCTTATTAAGCAGTGTACAGTTTTATATATTGAGCCGCACCATTTGCTTAACATGGATTGCTTTTAGTAGTAATTGGCAAAACCTTCGAATGTTTGTGTTTTTTTCTACCATTAATATACTTGTAGTTTGGAATATTTCCAGGCACCCAGCTTCATATGTTATTCCATTGAGAAAATTTCTCTAGTTGAACTTTTGATTTTTTTTCTCCCTTTCCTTGAAACAACATTGTTAACATGATTATACGTATTGTTTCTTTGCTTTCCTAGGCAATGAACATTTTTGTGTGCGGGACATACTTGCAATAGTAACAAAGGGATATTTGTGAACTTTTAAGTGCAGAGTTTGTTTAATGCTCAGGCGGTTAAAGAATTTATAATTTGAATAAAGTATATTGAATTAATTGATGGAAGGACTTGAAGATAAATTTGAATCGTGAAATCTTGAACAAAACAAAATGGATACAATGGAGGATGAGGTTAGTGGTTATTATGTGACTTTCAAAAAAACAAAAAACTTTGAATTCTAAATAAAAATCATTATTATACAAATGCATAATATTTAGATATAACCTTCATCTGTGTTTTATTTTGTTCGATTATTTTTTTTCCAAATGAACAGTGGTATTGCTATAACATAAATTTTTCATCTGTTAATTGCAAATTGCATTTACATCATTGTTTTACCATAGAAAATATATCCATATAGAAGTTATAGTATATATTTCAGATCAGATTTTACCTTTATAAAACTGTTTAAGCCAATAAATTTAATCAAGAGCCTGTTATCTCGACTTCATTAAAAGTTTCTTCCTTTAGTCTAATCTTTAGCTAAATTACGAGACAGATCATAAATGTTAATATAAGAGTCCACTCTCATTCCTTTTAAAATCCTAAGTTCAGTCCATAGGTTTGGTGTATTAAAGAATGTTTACCCACTGATAGTGATTTATAATTATTTTATCATGTTGAGAAGTTGTGGGTTTACTTGTAAGAGCATATATATACTGGTGCAGATTCCAGCACCATTGGCTAGATTAAGATGCCAAGATGTGATTTCTTTCAGGTAACCATCAAAAACATATGTTTATCTGAGCTATAGGATGTGAGCAAACAAACATTAATCAACCCAAAGAGAATAAAAAAAAACAACATATGTTTAGATAGCATTGATATACATGTAAAGTTATTCTTTTTTCTGCAAAGGTGAACAATTAAACATAAGATAAAACTAGGTATGATCATCATAATTGTCCACCTTCTTGGTCAAGAATGCAATGAAAATCAACAAACAGTGTCATAAAACATATCAAAGATGAGCTTATATCATATTGGGTCAACCATCCAGGTCCTGTTTTGCAGCTGTACCCATGATCTACATTTGTATATATAGATTTTTCTTGATACAAGGTCAAGATTTGCCTATTTTATGCCCCCACTTATGGGGATGGGGCATAAAGCAGTTAAATTTGCCCTTGTCTGCCCATCCTGCTGTCCTTGTGTCAAGCTGTCTGTTTGTAGACTGACAATACAGTGGAAATTGTGGGGGCATCTGTGTCCTATGGACACATTTTTAGTTGTCTTTAATCTTCTTCTTTTGATCAAGGTTTTGTTAAAGTAACTAATCTTTTGTATGCAGACCTACAGGATTTTAGAATTGTTGGTCTCAGGTCTTCAATGGCCATGGTCATTTTTTTCTACAGAGAAATAAATACTAAAGACAAACCTGAATTGATCAGTTATATGGCAAAAATTTTATTTTGTCTTAAAAGACCTTCGTTTCAGTGTCCAAAGACTGTTTTCTGCAGATAAGCAGGAAAGTGCTAGCTGAATTGGGAAATGTTTTTTAGTGATTGTGTAGCCTGATTTTTGCCTCTTATTGCTTTCAATCTATAATCATTGGAGATGGATGAGATTGTAGGAATTGATAAGGGTATTCTGATGGGACCCTTGGGCTTTGTGCATAATAGATGTTTGAACAGATCAGAACTCTGTATTGTTTTTGATTAATGAGATTGTTATATTGCAGAAATCTGGCAATTTATTGTGTAGGAAAAAAACAATACCCAAACTGTTTGAAAACCAATGTAACTGAGTTGTTCATGCAACATTGTATTAATTTGATTGTAATATGATAATCCCTCCATCTTATGGAATTCATGCAAGCAAATTTAATTAAATGTTTGATAGCCAAAACTTGAGTATGGAATTTTATGATTTTATAATCTAAACTCAATGAAAGTTTAGAAAAACAAACATGTTAGAACAAATTATTCATAAATTGATCTGTTCCCCCCGCCCTTAAACTATTTATAGCACCTGTTTAAACAGTTGTTGTATATTTAAATGTTTCAAAGTTTATTAGATTTTAAAACTTAATGGATGTGCATTTTTGAGTGCACTTAAAGATCTTCTTGTTGAAGTTGAAATTTTAAAAGTAAATAAAAGAAATTTAGTGAGTATTTCTTTACCGGGGTACTTCAGAAATATAACCTGTGCTTTAGTATTAATATTACATGTTAGGATTACCTGTCCATAAGATATTACTGGAGTCTAATGCAGTTCTTAGCACCAGTAGGTGAGGTGGTTTTGGCCTCAGGATTTGCTTTAAGTTTTTAACATCCGAGGTTAGCCAAAATCATCTTTCCTGTTTTGGTGATGACCTAAACTGTGTTGGTGCGCCATAAAACCATGCAAACAAAAAGAAAAAAACAAAATTATATTTAGTAGGAATTCTCCAGTATTATATTAGTTTTGTAATGGGATTTTCTATGGCTTTGTGAAGCCATAGTGCTCATGAATAATCATAATGATGGTAGGATTCAGATGCCAGTGTAACTTATGCTTATTTTATTCTGGTTATGTACTATCACTATATTGAGAACATCATATCACATACAGGACAGATATACTTCTGGGAGTTCTGGAACTGCTAATGTTGTTATAGTTAACAGGATGAGCCTGATTGTGAAACATATTAACATATGTCCATAATATCTACCAGAGCTTCAGTATCATAATGTTTCATTATCCAAATATGAACATAAGTACAGAAATATAGGCGTATATTAGGTTGCACATGATCTTTTAAGGTAGGGCTCAAGGATCAAGAAATTGAATATGCCCAACTTTAGACAAAGAAAATTTAATCAGAACTGTTGTAAACATAACAGGATGGGAAGTGAACAAGTGAATATGTTCAGTCATAAAGATAATTCTTAGAGATTTAAAAAGTGTTAATAATCATAACAGTGTTGTAAACTTAACGCTTAGAGAGTTAAAAGTGTGAATATGTTCTTAACTTTAGGCCAAGAGAGTTAAAAGTGTGATGCATGTTAACTTAACTTAAGGCTTAAAGAGTTAAAAGTGTGAATGTGTTCTTAACATTAGGCTTAGTGACTTGAAAGTGTGAAGGTCCTGTTAATTTCAGACATAGTAAAAAGTGTTCATGTGTTCTTTTACTTCATACATAGACAGCTGAAGGTGTGAATATGGCTTCTTAAGAGCTAGAGAGTGTGCATTGTCTCACAATGTTGAAGCTGGAATATTACATGAATAATTTTTTACAGTTTGTGTATTTTAATGTATAATATTATACTTAATTTGAGCAATATTATCTATTTTCAGGATAAAGCTGAGAATTTCGTGCAGGCAGCCCTGTTTTGTGCCTCAGAGGAGGGTAATGTACAAGGCATCAAAAGTCTCACAGATATGGCTCAGAAAATTGATCTTACAACAGCTAATAGGGTAGGTCACATGACATCACATGATGTCATAATTATGTTATAAGTTTTTGATTTCATTGGTTGAGACTGATTTGGTTAACATTGTTTGGTGAAGTTGATCACAATTTTGTGAGTTCTGGTATTACTATTCTGTCCAGTACAAATCATGAATGTTGAAGGTCCTTGTAAGATACCTTGCAACATTCTGAAAGAGGACTTCTGTCATTTGAAATTTAAGTCTGCTGATTGAGAACTCCTTGCTTTCATTGCACTTGTTTCACTGCCAGGATTGTGGTTATTTATAATATTCGGAAGCTTATAGAAAGTTGTTTCTACTGTAAAAAAAACTGTGTGGAGGTATTAAGGTGAGCAATACAGGGTTACAATGGCCATCTTGTTTTATTAACTTTTTATAACATTAAAATACCTGAATAGTTAATCATTAATTTTACGGACCAGACAAGATTGGTAATACATCAATGTTTGTGACACAACTGACAGCTCTAACATGTATTTTAATGTACAAATTATCACCTGTACACTCCCTTTTTGATCAATGAATAATTAGCTAATCTGACATGAATATTATAATATATAATATATATTCAAGGTGTATATCTTTCAAGAGAAGTGAGCAATTTATTACATATAAACTACAATGTACTGTTAAAATTTAAGTGACATTAACTACATTGTTTTTCTGCAGGCTTAATGGGCAGGGCAAGATAAAAAAGAATATTTTTTTTGCAATTAGTAATTTTGTAGCATTGGGTTGTTTCCAAACAGCCAGTTAAATAGGAACTCAACTTAGGTCCAAAAGCATAGATCAACTGGGATACTTGAAACATAAATTATACAAGAGATATAAAGAAATTAACTCTAGAAATGAAATTGAAAAATGTTTTTTTCATGTGATTGTAAGTCCGATTTATGTTATCTTTTGGTCATTTTGCAGAAATAAAATGATATTATTCTGGAGAAACAATGAGTGCAAATAATATGAAATTTTGCATGTAAGTTTTTGGTCCAGACATCATGGACATGCATCAAACTAAAGACAAGTCTTGAAGAAAAAAAATATTTCTTGTCCCACCATGTCTATAAAACTCAGTCCCTTAAATTGTGAAATATTTTATGATCAAATTTTCTTGGGACACATTTCTTCGTATGTTGCTACAAATTACTGTCCTTATTTCCGTTTATTATTTGCATGTTGTTTTTTCTTAAACTAAAATGCATTTGTTAACTTTGACTAGATTGGTTTATGATTACATTGGAACCTCACTATATCTTTTTCAGCATGGTGAAACTGCAGTGCATATGGCTGCAAGTGGAGGTCATACAGAGGTCATAAAATTCCTGAACTCTAAAGAGGTTGATATTGGTGCTCTAGACAAGGTCAGTTGAGCTATTATTAGAACAGACACGCTTGCCAGGGTAACATGCTTGTATAACACCCCTGCAAAGACTGAACTTCATTTTATGACACTTTATATCCTACTGTATACAGTCAAAAACGTTTTATGCATCCAAATAAAATATTTTCGTTACCAATCAGATATGATTTATATCTCTCATCTATAGTCGAATATGCTGTCCTATTTTTTAAAAGATACATATATTATATTACCCTTTCACATATAGAATATCAGCTTTCATTTGCTATTTGATGAATATCAGCCTATTCCATAGATTGACACAACTTAAAGGTCAAAGTGTGATGTTTATATTAGGGTAATGTAATATCACAGTAATGTTGTCAAGTATGTGATAAATGTGTATATTTTATGAGTGTATTATTTCAGCATGGTGACAGTGCAGTTTACTGGGCAGCAAGGCAAGGTCATGTAGAGGTCATTAAGTACCTATATGATGAGGGCATCCCCTTAGATACACAAAATAAGGTAAATATCATGCAATACTATGATAAATATGAGATAAGTAGATTGACAATGTTATCCGAATTTATATAACCTATATATGGAGGCTGTACCTTAACCATGTTTATAAAATTAAATGACATCAGCTAATGAGAATGGCCTTCGGATACTACTTATTTGTATAAATACACAAAGGGATTGCTTGGAGGTACTACTTCACAAGTGTACATTCTAGACTTAAAAACCATTGAAACAATGACTTTGAGTGTAAAATTTCAGAAGCATATAATTATGTTACAGGGTATAAAGCTATATCTAATGCATTTTTCTTATAGAAACTATTAACAGTAAAATTGTTCTGATAATCTTATGGTTGATTCTCCAAAGAATTGTAACATAGAATGTCTCTGTTATTTAACATACATGACATTGTAAAAAAAGATTAAAATGTTTCGGAACAAAATATTTTGCTGCTGTTGTAAGTAGGGCATTAACTGTTTAGCAATGATTTTGTGCATGTGCATTTGCTCTTAAAGAGATTTTCATATATTTTCTTTCATGGAAATATTCTTTTTCAAAATTAAGATAAGTTTTTAAGCACATATATAACTTGATGCACTTAATTGGGTTGTATTTCAAAAGCAGTCCGCATATATTGAAAAAGGATATACTTGTTCCAGGTATATATATTAATATACATGTCTGCTTGTTCCAAAGAAAAAAAAGTATACTTGTAAAAAATTCTGTAAGTCAAACCAACTAAAAGCTAAGGAATTTCCTTTTACTTGATTATATCTGAGGTTAAGAGATGAATGTGGCAAATCATTAATTAATGGATGAGATCTTTTATCTACCAGATACTTGACTTGCTATCATCCTGATGATGGGAGATAATGTATTGATTTATAACATTTGCTATATTATCTCATTACCCATAATGCATTTCTCAATTACCCGTAATGCATTTCTCATATTTAACACTTACAGGGTATCTGGTTTGTTGGGGGAATGGAAACTAAGATATGATAAATACAGTCGAAACTGTGTATAAGTCCAGTCCTAGGTGATGGTATAGTGGACTCTCGACAAAGGTGGTCCCATTTTTAAGATGCAATTGATCTATATATAGATGCTTGTTTTTTGAAAAATGGAAAAAAGTACTCTTCTGGTCAATGCAGGTGTCTCTCAACTAAGAAATATTCAATAGAAATTAAAGAAATCTGGGTCATGGTTGAAAGTCGCTGACAAATACCCAGAAATGTAACATTGATTTTCACTTAGTTATCCCCCGTTACATGTTTAATAAATCACTGCATTATCCAGAATTTAATTTTATATCAACATTAATGGGTATAAAACTAAACTTAATGAAATACTTTAATGAAATAATTATGTAAACACTAAAATTGTGTTGTCTTCATATAGAAGATTCTGATAGACCTTTAATTTAGATGAGCATTCTCTCAGCTTTCTGTTTGTTTATTTTAAGTTTATCTTAAATACAGGCTTATGTTTTTGTATGTTTATTTGAAGTTTATTTTAAATACATGTTTGTCTTTTTGTGTATTTTCAGTCTGGTGAAACAGCAGCCCATGTTGCAGCGAGATATGGCCACTTACAAGTTATTGATTTCTTGGCATCGACAAAAGTAAACCTGAATGTACAAGACAATGTGAGTTATCTTTTCTTGCCTTCTGATTAATTTACTGTGTGTTGATTCAAACTTATATATAAACCATATAGTGTTCAATTAATATAGCTTACACATTTAGATTTTTTTCTATATGATAACTTCAGTATAACAGTATATGATGATGGTTTTGTTGGACATAAGGTTGATAATATCCACCCTACCCCAGCACACAGGTCACTGAGTGCAAATTGGTTTTGCGAGTCTGCCTGTCTATAGACAAGTTTGGTTTTGTCCATAACGTTCTCATTCTCTGACCTATAGCCATGCTTATGCTTTATTTTGAAATATATTGCAATATGACCTTGACTCCTGAATGACCTTGATCTTCAAAGTTAAATTTAGAATTCTGATTGCAAACTAAATGAACATGTATTTGTTTTACTTTGCAGCTTGGTGAGACAGCTCTTCACAATGGAGCGTGGCACGGGTTTACGAACATTGTGCACGTGTTATGTAGAGCTGCAGTTAAATTAGATATACAGAATAAAGATGGAGACAGTGCCCTACATTGTGCCGCTGCACGAGGACATGTGGAATGTGTGAAAATCTTACTGGAGGCAGGAATGCCTCTAGACTTAAAGGACAAGGTAACCAGAACAAACAAACAAATCCAGTTATGTTAAAATTTAACCAAAAAAAAAATGTCAGGCCTGAGCATAATTTCATTTACAGAAAATAGCGAAATGAAGAATAAAAATTCTGGTTACTGAACTTTTTAAAATGAGTATTACTTCTTTTGACAACCATAGAAAAGAATAGAAAGACAAATATGAGATTAAATTTTAGGGACACTACCAATTGGTTGTTGAAATTTGTCTCAAGGTTATTTTTCTTCTAAACTTATAAATAAATCTAGAACATTTCAAAAACATTTTTAAATAACAGTTTCATATGTATGAAATGAAATAACAGAGTTTCTTAAGTATGAAATGAAATAACAGAGTTTCTTAAGTATGAAATGAAATAACAGAGTTTCTTAAGTATGAAATAACAGAGTTTCTTAAGTATGAAATGAAATAACAGAGTTTCTTAAGTATGAAATGAAATAACAGAGTTTCTTAAGTATGAATAGGTTTTGAAACAGTGAATTTTCATGTCACTTTAACAAAGGTATCACAAATCAATACTGTACAAGTTTAGTGTGCAAAAACGGCATGCATTTTGAAAAAAATATATATGTAATAAAAAGAAATGTAATAAAGGAAATACGAGGTATGTTCAAAAAGTTCGTGGATTTTTGCTGTCATTTTTTACTTGGTTTATAAAAACACCCTTAGTGGATATGAATCGAAAGAGTGTCTTTATTTCTAAAAGTAAGATTTACTTTTATTGTTAACTTTTATTTCCTTTACGAGTTATGTGCACTTTAATAACCATGGCAACGCAACATCGGCGCACGCCGAAATTTTCATATAATGTTTAAATATAAACAAGTGTTGAAACAAACTGATTGATTGTTTTATGAAATAAAATACAAGTAATCATCTATTAATAATTAAATTACATAAATCTGAAATTTGACGTCGTTTGGACGTTGAATAGCTGAAGAAACCGGTTTTGAGCAGCAGTAGACAGACTGGTAAGTTGGGAAGTATAAAGCCCGTTTAAAAACTAGAAATTCGTTCTTTCGGAAATTTTTACCAATAAATGTGGGATACTCCTTCATATTTTTTTAAGGTGATTAAATTAACAAAGAACAATGAGTTGGCGAGCAAGTCTCTTGGTTTCAGGTCGCGCAAGCGATTCAAATACGGCAAATACATACTCACAGACAGAAAGGGCGTCGGATATTTTTTAGCGGCAAATTGTTCGGACAATTGTAACGTCAATTGCAAAAGATCTACAGAGGTTCAGACATTATGAAAGTTTGGCGAGATGTCCAACATGTTTAATTTCTGCATCAGGCCTATGCATTTAATTGTGACAAAACAATTTAATTTAATGAAAATAATAGTTTATTTCCTTCATCAGGATAAATGCGTATTAACAATAAATAACTGTAGTTATTATTTGTATTACGTGTATTTACCCTGGTCCGTTTGAGAATTAATGCTAGCCGGTGTTAAGTAGATTTACCGCATAGAATAATTGTCAGTTGATAAAATATTTTTCTTTATCATTGATAATCATATTGTTCAAAGATCGGACGAGGGCGGTTTCAAAGAGATACTATAAATCAACATTGAATTAACTTAATAACACTGTCCGTTAAGTGTCTAAATTACTCAAAAATCCCGATAAATAGCGGAAAGTATGCGGTACTCGGACCTTTATACAGGAGAATGGAGCAAAAAGATGTCCACTTTATACCTTGGGTCATCATCACAAACAGAAATATGGTTTTTGTGTATGATCCGCAGATATTAAACACTAAAAAGTGTACTTTCAGAAACAATAACGCTGGTAAAATGTTTCATTTATATTGCGACGTCACGAACGTCATTTTGTTTCATCATCAGCGTGCGCCGGATTGTGCACCCCTTGTGATTTGTAACTGTCACAGAATTTTTATTTGTAAACATATTGTATTGATTTTTTCACTGTTTATTAAGGACATGTTTTCATATATGTCTCTTGTAAAATCATATACGCAAATTAAAAGATGTGAACAGTAGAGCCGCAGTCCACGAACTTTTTGAACAGCCCTCGTATATTATTTCAGCGTGGATGTACAGCTCTATATTTAGCATGTAATCGTCAGCATACACCCATTGCCCTCATGCTGTTACATTCTGGGTGCCGTATGGATGATATCATTCAGGTACACAGCATAATTATTGTCATTCTTAATTCATAGTACTTTTGTACATAAAAACTTACCTTCAGTCAGTGAATTTTAAATAGTTTATCTATAAACTAAATGCTCTAGACATGTAAAACCAGCCACAGATGTGTACTTTCTGCAAGAATGACGATGGTTATTAAAATTGAATTTAACATGGCATATTGAACTTAATCAAATTTATTATTTCGTATCCTAAAATTGTTGTGAGGCTCTATGAAATTGCTTTATGAAATTTAGTATAAATCATTACCTTTGCCTTTGAAAGATGGGAGAAATTGAGCCCAGTGAAAAGAGCATCATAAATATAATTTAGATCATGTGATACTGATCTGGGTTCACATTTTATTCCTGCAATCATGTATGTTGACATTTACCTATTAGTTGTTTTCTTTACAAACATTTACTGAATCAAAAGATCTAAATTCTTAAATCATTTCATTATGTCAGATTTACCCATGATTCATCTTTACATTACAGGACGCCGGTGAATATACTTTACACTGTGCAATACGTGAAGGGCTGTCCACTGTTGTTCAAACCATGTGTGCATTTGGCTGTAAAGTTGATGTGTTAACCAAGGTCAGTACTGGATATGTTTATATATGCATGTAGTTATGTTCAATTGTAATGAAAGCTTGAAGCTCATTTGAACCAACTTTCATGTCCATTTCCTGGATTTAACTAGTATTGCACTCTGACAAGGCAACAAGGTTGTGACCCCATTAGGGCTTGAACTCAAGAGTCCTTAAGACTAGAGGCAGATGCCATTATCTCGAGCCACTGTCACCTTTCAATTTATTTCTAGACAAAAGTAACACAGATAGTCAATTTCCTGTTTCAAGACTTATTGCTTTAGCTAGCCAGAGATTAAAAACTTAAGTATAAAAGATTATTAATTTGAAAATTAGATTTAAGAGGTATTAGGGATGATCTTATGATGTCCAGATATTAATAACTGTAATTAGAGCACTGCTAAATTATTACAGGAATTAATGAAGCAATTATTGTCCATTAGAAATAATTTATCTTTGCTATTTCTTATTAAAAAATGGGATTAAGAAGTATCTACCTCTTGGTTGTTTTTTGATATTGACCTGGGTTTAGCTTATAAAATATATCTTGTAATTTCAGGAGACAAATGTAACACCACTACATGTTGCCAGTAAATGTGGTTATATTGAAATAGTACGATGTCTGTTACTATCTGGTGCACAGTCGTATCTTAACAAGGTATCTACACATAACATTTACATCTATTTCATACTAGTATTATTCTTGGTTAGAATTTCACATAGAATCAAAGGGGGACAACTGTATTAACACAGCAATATGAAACTACGTAAGGGTTGTGTAATGTTATACTTGTATTTGGATATAGCTTACTAGTTGTACCAGCATCCACTTGTGCCTAAAATATTTCACTCCATCATAGAGATAGTATCTGACATATTCTTTCTCCAGTAAGGTTTGAAAGTTGCTATTTAATATTTACTAAATTACAGTCTTGGTGTGACTTTAAACCCAGCCATAATAAAATAAGACATTTGAAATTTTGTTTGAAGTCTCATCCTGTATTGACATATACATGTATTATGTTACAGGATGGAGTCTCACCAGAGATTATGGCATTGGCAGAGGGGTACACGGATATAGCTGACCTTCTTAACAGAGTTAGAGGGGTAAGATATTCCATGTTTATACCAATAATATGGTTGAATTTTCTCAAGAATATGGTTGAATTTTCTCAAGATAAGGTTGAGTTATCTCAAGGAATATGGTTATATTATCTCAATATATGGTTGAATTATCTCAAGAATACAGTTGAATTATCTCAAGAAAATGGTTGAATTATCTCAAGAATACAGTTGAATTATCTCAAGAAAATGGTTGAGTTATCGCAAGAATACGGTTGAGTTATCTCAAGAATATGGTTGAATTCTCTCAAGAATATGGTTGAATTATCTCAAGAAAATGGTTGAATTATCTCAAGAATACAGTTGAATTATCTCAAGAAAATGGTTGAGTTATTGCAAGAATACGGTTGAGTTATCTCAAGAATATGGTTGAATTATCTCAAGGATATAGTTGAATTATCTCAAGATATGGTTGAATTATCTCAAGAATACAGTTGAATTATCTCAAGAAAACGGTTGAATTATCTCAAGAATACAGTTGAATTATCTCAAGAAAATGGTTGAATTATCTCAAGAATATGGTTGAAATATTTTTAAGAAATGGTTGAATTATTTCAAGAATATGGTTGAATTATCTCATGGATATGGTTGAATTATCTCAAGAATACAGTTGAATTATCTACGGTTGAATTATCTCAAGAATACGGTTGAATTATCTCAAGAATATGGTTGAATTATCTCAAGATATGGTTAAATTATCTCAAGAATACAGTTGAATTATCTCAAGAATATGGTTGAATTATGTCAATGAAGAATATTATGAGATATATGTTGGATTTTTTTTGTTTCAGCTTGGATAATTTATAAATATTAAGCACTTTAAAGTAATGCAGTTTTGCAAACTTAAATCTAAATCTTAAACTTAGATGAATTTTTTCAGAAAATATGTTTTAAATCTTTTTGGAGGGAAAATAAAATCTCTTGATTTTCATATCTATCTAGAGTCAGAATTTGTTAAAATTCTGGCATATCTTTTAAAGATCAAGTCCTGTTTTTTTATAATGTTTTGTGATAAATGAGCATGTTTTAACCTCTTTTGTTCATGTGGCCAGGATCGGGGAGAGACATATATCAAACAGTTAATGATGTCATCACTGCCGCTACCTCAGGTCAAGGTCAAAGTCCTCGGCTCCACCGGTGTCGGAAAAACTACGCTTATCGAGACCTTGAAGTGTGGTCTATTAAGTAGTTTCTTCAGGAGGTCACGGCTGAGCAGTTCTAGTGCAAACCCTGGCCATAGCTCCAAGTCTAAAGGTCAGTATCTTTGGAAAATATGGATTCAGTAAAAAATTATGAGGTTTGAAAAGATCAGTTTCTGTTTATAAATTTTTTCAATGACTTACAGAATGTAACTTATTATGTGCATTATTGTTTGGTATTGAAATGAAACTGAACTAGGACTAATGAAATTTCTTGTGTTTACTAATGTAACTTTCTTTTATGACATAGTTTACAGGGCTTTTTAGAATACATGTACAGTCAAACGTGTATTAAGCGACCGGGCAAGGGAAACACCAAAAACGGTCGCTTAATGAAACGGTCTCTTAAGACAGTCAGCATGATATAAAAGTCAAAATTTATAAATGACATCTTTTTTATTCGATTGGATTGTTTTTCAACTTCATTTTTATATAAATGTTGAATAATAAGTACGCTCCGACAATCTAAACAGATGCAAATGTAAAAATAACTTTCTGATATTTATTGACAAAACAGTTTTGATCCATTACGTACATGTTTGACATTTTTTCCAGAATTTTTTAACTTCTCCGTTGTTTCTCCTTGTCTCCAACACGAAAACCCTATTAGTGAAGATGTTTTCTGTTGTGCATTTTTTCATTTGAAATAAACAAACTACATCTATTTGTTACGATTAATTTAATGGCTGATCAAGTACAAGGTCAATTCAATGCAGTCTAAATGTCAACAAGCGAAGCGTATACACCATCTCAGTATGGGCGGAGCGTTGCATTGTTTATCCGATATTATTGGATAATACACGTCACGCGTATACTTAACTTCATTTGCACACGCTAAAACGGTATGGGAAATAGAGTTTTTCACACGTTTATTGTTGTGTTTTGATTGCTGACACTTGTGACATAACGAGGTGGCGTTCTCTAAAATCACAATTACTTGACAGGTAAAAGTGGTCGTTTAATGAAAAGATTGATGTCAATTAGGTGACTAATTAGCGGTCGCTGGTCGCGTTGAGCAAAAGTCGCTTAATACATTAAAGATACAGAGAGAAAATGATCAGGGGGAATTTAAAGTGGTCATTTAAGACAAAAGTCGCTTAATACACGTGGTCGCATGGGCAAGTTAGACTGTAGTGATTAATGTTAAAAGTCTTGAAATATATTATATTGTACATTTTCTGTATAAAAATCAGAAATTAAATTATAGGTTGAAATAAAATTAAATTACCATTATTTGCTATGAGTTCCGTGTATAATTGTTATTTCTCTGTTTATTTTAGAAATGAAACCCCGTCTACCCAGACAGTACAGCCTGCCTACACCACTATGTTATTCTGTTGGAAATCCTCAGTACACAAAGGGCATTAATATACAGCACATTAATATAACAGGTAAAATAACAAACACTAATTTCTAATTAGCAATTTTTTCTATTATTAACATATAAATTAATAACTTCCTTCATAGTTGCAGAATGATGTCCATTACAATTGATCTCAGACATTCAGTTTAACGGTCATTTGTCTCTCCCCGCTGATTCAGAAATGGTGTAGATAAAGCAGTCAGTCACTTCCTGAGAAATTGGTAATTACTGGTTAGTTATCCAGGAAAGCATGTGAGGTGGATTGACTGTGGTGATATTACAAAAAAATGGTTGAAATCAGCATTAAAAAAATATATATATATATAAAAAAAATATGTATATATAGAAGAAAGTGGTTGTATGGAAAAAGAGTATTTGATAGTTTTATAAGTATACTTCTCTTGTTTATACTGTTGAACATGAATAAATAAAATAATATATATAAAAAAAGTATGTTTTGGGAAATGCAGAGTACAAAGTTCGTTAATTTTTTTATACGTTTATTTCTGTTAGTGCTTTCAAATATTTTTACATATCTTCAGACAGTAACGTATAATATAATCATAACAAATATAACAATGACGTAACGTTATAAAAGTGCGGGAATTGTTAAAATACGACATTGCGCGGCACATGAAATATTCTTTTACTCTCTATATAAGAAGTATTGAATTGCTACAAAAATACATAGGGTAAATATTTTATAAAGAGAGGTAATAAACACGTATTAAAATTCAAAACATTGACTAATTATAGAAGTAGATGCAACGTTTGCATTACTAATAAATACTTTTTAATATTACTGAGCTAAACGAGTAAAAATATGTCAGAAAATGTGGAAATGGAAAAATATTTACTTATATAAATGTAAAGATCTTGCGATTAAATAAAGGGAGGTAATAAATATGCTTTAAAATTAAACGCATTGACTTATCATAGACGTAAATGCAAAATTTGTATTACTAATAAGTACTTTTTGATATGAATTAGCTAAACGAGTAAAAAATGTCAGAAAGAAAGTAACTTAAAACCATGTGGAAATGTAAAATAATTGTATTTGTTTGTTGTCTATGTAAATTCATTCGTAAGTTTAATTCATTTCTAGTTTGCCCGATATAAAATTGTTGACAATTTGGACAAATAATACTATATATTACATTTTTAGTTATACAGGTCATACTTTGTTTTACCGTGAAATTTTTGCCATTTGTAAACTGAATTGTGTTACCTTCAATAATTGAAGGACATGTCTTACACCTGGTTCTGTTACATTTTGTTACAGATGGAAGGTCCTCTTTCATATCAAATCTGGAGGGTGATAAAATTTGTTTTAAGTTTTTCGATTGTCTTTTACTGTTTATTATTCTTTTCTTTTGTAATATATTCTTCATTCTTTCACTGTTTTGTAGAATTGTTTTACAAGAATTTATAACTGGGAACATGTTTGTATTTCTGGGATTGTGTGTTGAAACAAAAGGGATAACATTATGAGCGGAAGTACGAGTGTCTTGACGATCAGTGATCTTAATGGGTCCCTTAGATATAGCCTGCTCTATTCCATGTTGTATCAGTACATCTGGATAATTCTGTTGTTTTAACTGTAATTTCAATTCTGTTAGACACTTTTCTTGTAAGTCTTTATTTTTCACGATAGTAATGATTCTCGATGCTAAATTGAATGGTATGTTAACTTTAGTATGCTTAGGATGACATGATCTAAAATCTAAATAGTTGTGTGTATCTGTAGGTTTACAGTATAAATCTGTAGAAATGTTATTTCCCCGACTTCAAAACAAGAATATCCAAAAAAGCCATCGCAGTTTCACTTTCATATAATTATATTACAGGTGTTGGAGAGTTAAGCATGTGGGATTTCTCTGGTTACGAACCATATTACATGTTGTACGATCATTTCCTGGGAGAGACGGGCTGTATACATGTAGTCATGTTCAGTTTAATGGATCCATTTGATGAACAAATTGCTCAAGTTTTCTTTTGGCTCAACTTCCTTAAGTCGCGAGTTACACCCCTTTTACCTCTAGGTGAGTTACAACCTGTCATAGATGTTAAGCTATAAGTTTTATAAATATGAATGAATGCAATTGTAAACAGTACAGGTATTAGCAGGGGCGTCCGTGGCCGAGTGGTTAAGGTCGTTGACTTCAAACAACTTGCCCCTCACTGCTGTAGGTTCGAATCCAACAGGGACTTTGGATTCTTTTATGTGAGGAAGCTATCCAGCTAGCTTACAGAACATTGATGGTTCTACTCAGGTGCCCGTTCATGCCATATGTCGCCATTTGTCGGTGTGACGTAAAACCCAATTAAACAATAAAAAACAGGTATTAGCAAAATTGCTAGAAGTTGCCATTCAGCCAGGTGTTTTTTTAAAAAAAAATTAAAAATTGTGAAAAAGACTCCTTCGTTAACAACAGAGTTAATGTCTTTTTTCTTTTAAGACAAATATTTGAATATTGTTTACTCTGCAGGAGCCTACAAACTGGTTTTGAACTTCCTACTTAAAGATAGTACATGTATTTCAATTCTATAAATAGTCAAACCAATAAAAAACATAGTTGATGGCATGTGATGTAGGTGCTCCTATTTGAGGTCTTTAATCGTCCATTTTGTGGTATTAAACCTATGTAAACCTAAGTCATATGCTTGGATAAAAGTTTAATCTTTAAAAGTAAGACAACAATTTCTAAACATTTTCAGGCTATTGTGGACAGCTACCAAATCGTCCCACCGTAATACTCATTGCCTCACATGCGGATAAAGCAGGCTGCTCGAAGAATGCCCGAGGTGAATATGTCAGTCCTGTTGCCAGCAACATCCTGGCTAAAATTCAGCAGAAGTTTCGAAATGACCTTGACATTTTGGAGAGAGTTTTTGTCTTGGATAATCAGGTTGGCATGACGCCAGATATCAAAGCTTTGAAACACCAACTGTATCTGCATAGAGCTCATATCCTCAGGGTAAGAGGTCTAGAATTTTGATGTTTGATAACATTAACAGATCTGATATTGTTATATTTTCCATGGGCAAAGGGAGTACATTAAGTAGTAATTCATGGGCAAAAGGGGTAGTAATTAATAGGCAAAGTGAGCAGTAATTCATGGGCAAAGAGGGTTGTTATTCATAGGAAAAGGGAGTAGTATTTAATGGGCAAAGGGAACAGAATTCATAGGCAAAGGGGACAGTATTTCTTGGCAAAATAGGGGTGATCATGGGCAAAGAGGGTAGTCATTCATGGGTAATGACTTTTTGAGTGCAAAGTTGTTAGTAATTTATGGGCAAAGGGGGTAGTAATTCATTGGCAAAGAGGGTTATAATTCATGGGTAAAGGGGTGTAGTAATTTATGGGCAAAGGGGGTAATGATTCATTGGCAAAGGGTGTTGTAATTTATTGGCAAAAGGGGTAGTAATTTATGGGCTAGTAATGGTGGTTTTACTGACATGTATTCCTGGTATGTGTATTTGAAAGGTATGAACATATTCAGTCTATATTATATTTATAAAGCGTATTATTGGAAGTAAAGCAGCCTTAAACTTGAAAAATTGAATATTACATTGTATGTGTAAACAAAATGATTTATTTTGAAGATATATTTTAAATATGATCTTTTCTTTTTCTGTGCAAATAGTCTGTGGGTAAAAGCAGTGGATTCCTGGAGGCCATGTTGATGACCTTACCGTCATGGAGACGATCATCCTCATCTTACCCTGTGTTGTCATGGCAACAGTTTATAGAGTTTGTGAGGTCAAAGGTCAATCCATTAGTTGGTGAGAACCATATAAAACACCTGGTGGAGCAGCTGCAGATTATCGGAGAGGTTTGTGGTGCATTTATTTAAATTTGATTACAAATGAGAATAGCATTTTAATAAAGATGAAAGGTCAATGTAAATAGGGTTCAATTCCCACACCTCCTTGGTTTCTTGTGTCTATAGCCAAGAAAATAGTGCACTTTTTGTCCATATATCATTATTTTGTCGATCTTTTGATGAGTTATCCATTACAAAACTATTTACCAAAATATATTATGACTTTATTTCGGTAAATATTTTTGTAATGGATAATTGTTCAAAAAGTTTGTTAAATCACAAATGTAAACATTGTCATTGATTTTGACTTTTATTTGGTATTTACAACCTTATAATAATATACTTCCTTAAATATTTTATGAATTTATTCATATTACATATCTTCATTTTATTTTCAGATTGTGTATCTAGAAAAAGACTCTGGAGAAAGTCTTGTAGTATTGAATCCAAAGTGGTTATGTTATGACATTATTGGTAACCTCATATCGCATGAGAAAATTGTACAGTCAAGAATCACCGGTTGTTTCACGGTTGATGAATTTCAAATCATGTATCCAGAGACTGATGCCTTGGACTTGCTCAATGTATTAGAGGCTTTAGAAGTGTGTACACGATGTGAGAATGATGATGAGATCGAATATGAATTCCCGTGTTTAAACTTTGTCGAGACTTTAAACGGCTTATGGCTTCGAGATTTGAAACATTTTGGTAACGCTTTGTACGGTGGTTTACGTATTAAGTCGACAGATAGTTTAGCTCAGTTGAAGCATATATTTCCTCGTATACAAACGCATTTACGTAGAAATATTATACAAGAAGGTGATGACCCAGATTCAGACTTGTATCAGTGGCATCATGGGTCGAAATATTGTTGTGGCGACCTTGAGGGTATGATTAGCATGGATCGCGAAGAACAATTTGTTGAGATTAAAGTAAGAGGACCACCGGAGACTGCGACTGCAATGTTCTACTTTCTCGAAGACTTTGTTAACACGGCCGAGCAGGTGATAAGTCATGTTACTCCAGGCTTGTGTTATGAGAAACATATACTCAGCCCGTCCAATCTTAAGGAACATACAAAAAATCCACACTGTTACACTCCTCAGGATATCTTAATGTCCCAGTTAAATAAATATTCTGTGTTGAAACTGCCAGACGGCAAAAAGGAAAATTACAATGATGTGATGTTTCTCGGCTCGTCGGAAGCTAAGAACGCTGTTTGTTCAGGTTTTGACCTGCCTATTTCCTATCTTCCTATCCATGCCAGACAGAGACTGTGTGAGATTATGGATCCTAACGATCCTCTAGGCAGAGACTGGTGCCTTTTGGCGGTAACTCTAGGACTAGAAACATGTCTTCCATCTCTAGATGCCAATAGTAATAGAACAGAAAGTAAGACCGAACGAACATTAGAAGAATGGTTAAATGTTGAACCTAGTGCTACAATAGGGCAGTTAATCTCTAAATTGCAGGAATTTAACCGGGAGGACGCGGTTGAGGTTTTGTTACATACAACACCACTGTTCCGGACTATGGTGTATGATGAACAGTCGACAGACGAGAGTGCTGTTCCAGGACTCGGTACCGCCTCCACAAACACCCTGTCTAACCTGTCCAGATGACAATCGGAGTAACGCTGTAGGAGAAATTGAAATGATACAGACTTGTAGATTCAATATGCCAGATCCAGGCCTGTTATAAATGCCCCTCTGCAGGTTCTGCAAATTTTTTCTTCACATATATTTATTTCATTTTGCATTTTGATGTTTTGAAATGGTAACATAAATTGAGGTAAAAATTTAGATTAAGACATTAGGTTTATAGAAATGAATTTTTTTTAAACTACTTAACTAATGATATTGTTATTTTTATTATCTTGAAATTTTCTAATTAATCGGCAATATGAAGTAAGATGACCAATAATAAGATGTGTTATTTATATTTTGTAGATTTTTGGTAAATTTTGATAAGAACAGTAGAAAATGATTAAACTGTAATTTTTTGCCATTGTCATTTTACTGGATCAGTGTCTGTTCTAGGGAGTGCAAGTTAGGAATTGAAGCATTTAAATAAAATAGCCAAAAAAAATTCCAAAGATTTCTCCTGGTAAACAACCACGCACATGAAATCCCAGTGAAAGAAGAAAAAAGAAACAATATAATTTAACAGGCTTATCAACAATTCACAACTAGAGATACATTGATTCAGCAGTATTGACGTCAGATTTAACCCTGTGTTTAGAATTAGTGTGCAAATTTAATTGAAACAAATAAATTGCTTGCATAATGCTGAAATAAATTTTTAAAATTCTATTGAAAAATTAAACTTAAATTTTCATTAGACAAAACGAAATTGACACTGGGTATAGTGTGAAATCTTAAACACATACTAAAATCTCCCCACCTTTATTTAAATGGTTCGCAAAAAAATGACATAAATTATGAATTTTGACTCCTAGAATAGACACTGGTGGATTATTTATGACAATTTGTAACAATTTATCATATATATGTAACACACCCAAGTATTATATTACAATCAACCATATTGTATTACACTTTCAAAATTGTTAATATTCTTTTTTGCATTTTTGTTTCCATGGAAAATAGTTGAAGTTTCTAATGGGATTATTATTACACATTCAAGGTAGATTTTGCCAAATATTTCTTGAGTAAGGATATGGTGAGAATAGTATGAGTCTTACATGTTTATAAAGCAGGCTGCTCTTACAATGTCTAAGGTGCATGCATGCCAGGCATAAAAACTTTTACTATATGATACTACAGGATGATTTTCGGAATTTAATGAAAACTTCTGAGTTGGTCATAACAATATACATGTATTTACATTGAAGTATTGAGATAAAAAAATCTATGCATAATAATCGATACACACCAAAAATTTATTTAGTTGTTAAATTATCTGTAAACTGACTACATCAAAAACCAAAATTATAGATTTATATACATGTATAACATTTATGTACTGTCTTTTTTTTTATACAAAATTTCGTGTTTGTTTCCTTTTGACCACCCAGTCCTGCATTTGATTAAGGTACAATATAGAAATTGCTGGAAAGTTTGCTTTATTGAAAAAAAAAAGGCAAAGAAAATTTATTTAATTTAATTTATTATGCCAAAGTAATCACCCAAACTTTTGTAAGAGGACTTTTTCTGATTGTTTGACATAATTTATAGTTGTTTAAAAGGAGTTAAACAAGGGTTTGGTGTGAAACAGCTGTAACTTGTATTAGATAATGTATGAGTTACATCCCTTTTGCACCGATCCATAGAAAAGTTCTCACATGGTAGCAAATGTATATTTTGAGATTATTACATAAGTTGAACAAATTGTATATTACAAGTATCATCCATGTATATATTGATATATTATTTTATTTTTAGTTGATTAATGTATAGGGTAAAATTTTATGTAAATTTTTCTGTCATGGAATATTTTGAAAACTATTTTATTGATGATTACTACTTAATTATATGTATATAGTATATGTCAAATGGGAGAAAATTATTCTGCCATTTTAATGGTACATATTAGTGCTTTGTTGGATAAATATGCCTGTGATTTTGAATGTGTTTTTCATTATGATAATTGTTATGTGTTATCTATAATTATCTCTCTGTAAAATTATCTTATCTTTACATAAATACACAGTATAATACCCGGTGTTGATTTGTACCAGTATTTAAACTACGTCACTTTGCTGTTGAGTGCTCTTTTTTTTCATTTTAGAATATTTGATGTGTAATTGATTCTTGGTTACACTAGTTGTCTCCCTTGAAAAATATAATGTGATTTTTTTTTGGAGTTTGGAGGAAGATGTGGATAACATTAAAATTAAAGCAGATTTATAACCTTTTTGGGGGGAGGGGGGTGGGGTCATTTTTACCTATAAAATGTTATAAATTTACTTATTGATAGTTGATTCTTAAGTATGGATGTTATCCTCCTTGATGAATAAAAATATCTGCCAGTTTAAGAGGAATGTGGATGATATTTATGCGGAAAAAAAAAATGAATATATAATTAATTCTTGATTCAATATGAAGTCTTTATCAATTGAAATAGGAGAACCCCTAAAGTGAAATTAGAATTTTTGAAAAGTTCAGTTTTGAAGAACAATTTTAAGCTACCTTTATGTTGCTAGGTTACCTGTGCATGAATCAGTGCATACCTTTGTGTGTTGTGGGCTTTCCTCACAACTAGTGAAGCTGGCAAGTGGTTTAATGAATTTTTATTAGTGTCAATTTAATCGGTCATCAAATTTAGTTAGCATATTTATTATTGGTTATAATGGTTATTATTGTTAAACAGTTGTTGATTTGAGAATTTATATCTCAAACTATATCTGAATGATAATGATTTACTGCTGATTTCTATAAAAATGTGTTTAAAACCCATAAATTTAGAATAAATAAATGTCAATATACACAATGTTTCTTGTCTATTAATAAATGGGTCTAATTTCTGATGTTTGATATTTGTACTTGGTTGCATTCTTTACTATATAGAAACATTTAACGATGTAACATTTGTAAAATGTTGATGAAAACAAAAGATGAATTGTTTAAGGATACATACGTCCTTTATATGTAATATGTAAGTGATCTGTCTAACATTTTAACACCAATTATAAAAAAAAACAAAAAAACTAGCCTTTCCGCTAATTGACAAAATGATAGTCAGTGAATATGACCAATATTTGATTGATATTTAAGTTTTAATAAAGCCAGCTTTTATGTAACAATTTTGTTGGTATTCCGAATTGGATAAATGACTCATTGTTCAATCAACCTTTAACATGTCCAGTATTTTTCCCCTGTAAGTTTGTGGCTAGACTGAAATAAAACTTATATAGATATATTTTTTCTCACTTTTCAAAATATTCAAGAGTTCGAAATGTTAGTGTCTATAGTGGACTTCATTAGTGAACTTATATAGAAATATAAATAAAAAACAAGCAGTGCAAAATGTTGATATTATGTTAATTTATTTTTATAGTTAGGTCTAAACTAGTGTTCTTTAATATAGAAATTTAGTATTTCTTTGATAAATCTTTAGGTAAAATTCAAATTACACCATTTCCTTCAGTGGAAAAGAAAACACAAAGTCATGAAACCTTTTGTTATAGATCTTTATGTCAATTTTTACGAGTATAGGTCTCAATATTAATGTACCCTAGAATGTATTATTTAGGTTTATCTATGGGTTCAGAATAACCGGGCATTGTATTTTTGTGATCTCACAAATTATAACAAGTATGAGCATGTATATACCATGTAAGTTATAACATTATATTGCCAGTATTGCTAACAAAACACTGTCTTAATTTTGAACATTATTAATGGTGTAAACACTGCACTGTCTCTATCTAGTGTGAACATTAAAGTGTAAACACTGGAATGTCTCTAGTGTGAACATTATAGTGTAAACACTGGAATGTCTATAGTGTTAACATTATTGTGTAAACACTGCACTGTCTCTAGTGTGAACATTATAGTGTAAACACTGCACTGTCTCTAGTGTTAACATTATTGTGTAAACACTGGAATGTCTATAGTGTTAACATTATTGTGTAAACACTGCACTGTCTCTAGTGTGAACATTATAGTGTAAACACTGGAATGTCTATAGTGTTAACATTATTGTGTAAACACTGCACTGTCTCTAGTGTGAACATTATAGTGTAAACACTGCACTGTCTCTAGTGTTAACATTATTGTGTAAACACTGCACTGTCTATAATGTGAACATTATTGTGTAAACACTGCACTGTCTATAGTGTGAACATTATTGTGTAAACACTGCACTGTCTATAGTGTGAACATTATAGTGTAAACACTGCACTGTCTCTAGTGTGAACATTATTGTGTAAACACTGCACTGTCTCTAGTGTGAACATTATAGTGTAAACACTGCACTGTCTATAATGTGAACATTATAGTGTTAACAGTGCACAAAAGTGTATACATTTAAGTGTAAACACTGCACTGTCTCTTGTGTTAACATTATAGTGGAACAGTGCACTGTATATAGGGTGAACATTATAGTCTAAACACTGAATATAAAAGTGTGAACAAAAATGTTAAGTAGGTCATTAATTAGTTTGATTTGACCATTTCACAAACTAATTATGTTCAAACATTTTATGCCAATAATTTGAACACTGCCCTGTGTGTAGTGTATACATAATATAATATAATAATACACAGTGTGAACATTTTATGTAATGTATAGTGAACATTATTAATCTATGTGAGACCAGTAAAAAACCACATTATGATCTTTGTATTAATGTTTGAACATTGTAATTTTGGTTTGAAAATTATTTTGCCTAAAGTTTTAGCATTATAATGACTAGTGTGCCTACTATAAGAAAATTAGTGTGAACATCTTTAGTGTGAATATGACACACAGTCTTAAGTGTGAACATTACATAATATGTAATCAACTCATCTATACCAGTTTGTTGATAATTTTTTGCTACATGTATTTAATCTTGCTCTAAGCGAGTGCTCCAAATTTAAATTAATACAGAAATAAATGTCATCAAATATTTTAACCCAGTCATGTGATTCACTTATGTTTTTTCTCTGAATAATGTATGAATCACTTCACAATACTCTTTCATTACTAATAATAATGCAATATAAGCATGCCTCTAGATTCACGCTAGTTTTTGCAGTCCTCCAGCTTTGTTAAATACAGAGTGTAACTGATTGGTAGTCAAGTGGTCGCTGGTTCGATCCACAGGCAAGGGGAAATTACTCCGGGACAGTTGATCTCGGAATTAAGTCTTAGGGTCGATTGTCTCTCACAGCTAATTTAGAAATTCTGTTGGATTAGTATTCAGTCACTTATGAAGGAATTGGTAATTACTGGTTAGTTATCCAGGAAAGGTGTCTAGGTGGACGTACTGCTAAGATATGATAAAAAATATGTTAAAATCAGTATGTGAAACAGATACATATAGCTCATATCATGATAACAGCAAAGTATTTTATAAATGTTTAGTTGAGTTTTGTCTAAATGTGGAAAGTCTAAATGTATCGAAATTCAAACTACTGGTTATGTTATTCATATTAATCATTACTCTGCTAAAAGGGGCATCCAAGGCTGTGTGGTTAAAGTTGTTGACTTCAAACCACTTGCCTCTCACCGCTGTGGGTTCTAATTCCAAAAGGATGAATTATTTTAACATTTCTTTGCTTTCCAAGAGGCATGTAGCTTTAATTGCTTTAAATTTGAACTTAACTTTTGAAAGAAACTGCCAGATTATAATTTTTATCAAAGGGCATTATCACTAGGGAAAGTTTTTACAGTAAGGAAAGTAAATATATGTATTATAAACCTATATATGTCAACAACAACAAAAAATGTATTTGTTTATTTACGTATTCCACTGAAGTTTCTTCAGAATGATAAAAAAAGAAAATAGAAGTAATGCAGCAGATATCAAAACATGTCATTAATATTTGCTACACAGACACATGTACGTGAAAAAAGTTATAATTGTATTTTATATCACTTAAGATGATGACTTAAAAACTGGTCATTATTGAAACTTGTCAAGGAAGAATATTAATAATAAGTATTGCATATGATGTAAAATGTATGCATTAAAGTTGTCATTATTTTTCCTGCTAATTTGTTTGTTAATGACTGATGTAGGAGGATGACTTTCATTGTAAATCTTCACAACAGATACAAGATAATAGGGCATATTTTCATTGTCTAGTTTCTTATTGTATACATATTGATATGTGAAATATAGCAAAACATTATTATTTGACTAATACTTTATATTCAGATAAAATAGCTAAAATTTTACATGCAGGTACTTTAAGTATAGGTTAGTGTTTAATGATATGTAATAACAAAAATAAATTGGTCAAGGGTGCCGCAGGAGCAAGAACTGCACTGTTGTCCCAGCTGACACGGCTCTTTATATGTTAACGTATTAATAAAAATTGGAACATGTCTAGATTTCTTCACAGTACATACACCTTCCTGTCTCGTTATTGTTTAAACAGATTACGAACAGCCTTGTGGTCCCAGTTGACACTGCTCTTTATATGGTAACATATATAATAAAAAAGAACATTTCTAGATTCCTACACACAGTACCTACATTTATAATTGTTCTGTATATTATTATATGTCAGCATTGTGGTCAAGGTAGAAACTGCCTTGTATAATATTATGTGCATTGTTGTTTAAAATTGTTCAGAATTATGAAAATAATAATGCGTCATGAACTACTGTATATTTATATAGTGGTGTATATGTTAGTACGATGAATATTCTAACTATTCAGAATGATTGTTTGTTCAATTTTTTGTTACCTTTTGTTTCTTTTTTTTTCATGTATATCAAATATACAGTTCTTTTGCTATGATCCAATAAAATTCAATGAATTTATTTATAGTTGTTGTTCTCCACCTTGGAATTTGAATGTTTCTGATATCATTTTCTAAAACCATGCCAAGTTTAAATAAGTCCTTGAAAACAGTTTTAATTCTGTATGAATGAAAATTTTAGCAGTAGATCTTGAAGTATAATGACAATGACATACAAATGTTCCTGCTAAGTATCATTGAAATAGTAGTTGCTGAGAAAAGTGGAAACAAATTTTGATGGAAGGATGGACAGTCGATGCCAATATATTTATGCCCCTATCCAACTCCAGCAGCTGTGGATAAATGTTAGTGTCTTTTTATAGGCATCGTAGAAACAAGCCTTGTATATCAGCTTGGTTGACTTTTCTCGGAGTTTTATGCCGAAAACAAGAGCCTGAATGATGTATGAATTTAGAAAAGAAAATATTTCATTCAAAATCTATGATGTACCATTTTCTCCATTCACCAACGGCCTTTAATCAGCTTTGAAAGTAACTTACATAAAATTCTTATCTCGGACAAGTGTAGATTCTTAAAATAAATATTTCAGTAGTTTAAGATATTCATGTGGTTCTTTGATAATGACCTTCAGTTATGATCCAGAAGTTTCAAGTGAATCTCAGTGGTTCATGAGATATGTTGTTACACATATAATTTTGAAATAAACAGTTCTTTAAATAGTCAAGCTAAATATGATTGACCATTATTGCATTTCATATAAGTTTCAAGTGAATCTCAGTGGTACATGAGATATTATGTAGTTACACATATAATCAGTTCTTAAATTGAATAGTCAAGCTAAATATGATTGACCATTATTGCATTTCATAATAACATAAGAACTGAAAACATTTAGTTTAACAGTGGTGATTAAAAGCCTCTGATGCCTCTATGGTTTAGTTCAGGAACCGGAATAGAACCACCATAGCTATCTTTACTTCTTCCTTGTATTGTAAAAATTGGATGTCCCTAGCAGAATGTTAAATCTAAAAACCTTAACTGCCAAATATTTTTCAAGTTGAGGGGAAAATTTATTACTGGTATTGGGTAAAACTAAAAAGGGAAAATGAAAACAAGATACAGATTATTTTCAATTTTTTTTAATATTCTTCGGAGTGAAAAATATTCACAAAAATTAATGACAATAATGCAAAATCTGTGAGATAAAAACATGTTAATATAACCATTCTTACGTACATGTACACAATGAAACGCTCGCTAAATTTTCAGTATTTTCTTTTTTTACAAATAAGCCAATGAGAATGGGGATTTGTACATTAAAACAAAAAAAAACCTCACATGTTATCAATTTCCAGGATTTATACAATTGTAATATACATGTAGTTGTCAACAACTGCATAGAATTTCAAAAACAAAAAAAATAAGGAGAAAAAATTTGATTTTTTTACATCAGCTCACAATTGAACTAAAAATTCACCATAACATACATTCACATTGATTTTGATTTCCTTAAGTCAACAATTAAATTTTTAACAATTCTACTTTGCATTGCAGATCAATCTATTTTACTTCTATATAAATACACAATCTTTCAGAAATATTTCTTATCTTAAAACTTTGCAAAATTTACACAGAAAATTTGAATATTTAGTTCATATTAAGCCATTACATGTATATACAGCTCAAAAGAAAATTAAGATTATATGCAATTTTTTTTCCTTTCAAAATTATCACTTTTTTAGTGTTGATTCAGTTGAATCACAAACTGTTCTGATGATTTTATACTTCTACATATATAAACATATTCATCAGAAAGTGTTATACCAGGAAAATGAACATTACTTATTTTCAATGGTAAATTACTCAGAATATATATATTTTTTTCCAACATAAAAACAGAGAAAGCCTGTATTTTGTAAGCAGAAGGGTAAAACAATGAAATATAACTTAGCATTTGAAACAAAAAGAAGGAATCAGATTGGTAAAAGTCGTCCTTGTTTGATATTTGTTCAAAAAGGAAAAAAAATTCTCAGATAATTTACAGAAATAGCATGAATTTTGATATGTAAGTATCCAAATTCAATCATAAAGTTATAACACTATATCAAAGGCTTTTCAGTAATCTGTAGAATAAATGTGTGTAACCTTATATAAGCTAAAGTCACAACAATAAAAGAATTTATTAGGTCTATAAATGTCCTATAGAGCATTTGACTCATGCACAAGATCATCACCAAACCTGCCAACATTTTGATATTTTTCTGGGGAACAATTCATTCTTTTAGATATAAATAATTTTAATGTTCCGTAAATAGCAAAGATGTAAACACACATTTGTATTATGTTGAAACACTCTCTAGATACCACCATATGGTAAAAGCATGACAGTTCATCTTTTCTTGAAAAAATATATTTCATACACATATTTTGCTATTGGAAATTTTGTAAATCATTATATGCCCTTTAATCATTACCCTTTGTGAAATTGTGTAGAGGCTTTGTCCTGCTTTGGAGTTGAAACTGTCCATGTAAATGTGATAGATTTTAATATCAAATCATAAAATCTAGCTGCCAACAGATCACAGCCTGGTCAAATATGACTGGCTGGGCAGATATTTCTGATTATATGGCATAGCAAAGTTATTGTTGTTGCAAGTACTTAAAGGTTTGATGTGCGCAGAAAAAAGCTCAAAACCAAAATGTAACCTCTTTAACTGACAACCTAAACACACAAAACACATGTATTATACCTACCAAAGCCAAGTCAAGAATAGCAAGTTAGAAAACCAAAAATAATGAAAAGTAGAAAATACACACACACACAAAAGTCCCATATCATACAATGCTGGCAGTTGTAACTTAAAAATAAATAAACAACAAATAAAATTAACAGCAAATAAGGGTTTCTCATCGAAGAAAAGCACAAAATGCAAAATTTAATGAAATTACTACAATATCCAGGTCAATTATACCCTCCTGTATATACTGGATATTACTTACAATAATCAACAAACAAAAAACTAACCATTTATGCAAAGAAGCATTCTTTGCCTAAATTTTGTCACATGAAAAAATAAATATTTTAAATTTGCGCATTATATCTTTAAAAAAATTTAATATTTCAGGGCACATATCAATATCATATCAATAGTTAATCATCAATTAAATAATTTGTAAGCACATTATGTGTATTTTTTGAAAATATTATATTATAATTCATGCATTTATAATTAATATTTGAATGAAAATGCTATTCTAGAGCTTGGGAAAAAAATTCTGTCAAAAATCTTTCATGCCCACATTAGCATTAAAAAAAATAAATAATAATAATAAAAAAAAAATATATGCCAAACTGCTTATGTCCCAAACACTTTCTGTTACCATGTACATAACTAGAACAAAAACTATTAACCTGATTTCCAATACTTGCATTAACAATAGTTAGTCAAAAAATATCAAAAGTAAACAGAAACTTGTAAATATTACCCAATTTACAACGGAGGAAACCATCACTGGTTTAACATAAACACAGATTGTCCCACACCTTTCCATCAAACACATTTAACTCATACAGAATAACTAATACCCCTATCAGATTAAAATAGAAAACAGTATGCCACAAAGTTAAGTCCTGTATAATTATAAATAGGACTGATTTAATAGAATACATTAATACCTTAAGGTGACCAAAAGGTCTTAGATCAGAAAAAAATTTCCCATATGATATTCACCATAAAGAAAATAAAAGAAACAAAAAGCCGCTGAAACCAAGAATTTGAAGAAAGTAAGATGCAAAAAAAAAAAAAAACATCTGAAAAACTTTATCAGGAATCCCTTAAAATACATACACACATCATTTAGGTGACTCTAGAGGAAGAAACTTCCACCTGACTTCTTACTAGCACATGAAGTACAAACTAATTTGTCTGTCGCACTTTATGTGTTCACCTCCAGTAAAAACAGTTTGAAAATTATTATTTCACTAGACTTATGTCATAAAAAGTTCTTTAAAAAAAAAGTTGTGTTTTTATCAAAATACTATATACCCAACTGACACCTTATCGAAATATAAACCTAACAAATACCTGGATCAACATCTGTTAACCTAAAGCTACACATTCAACCCAACCATGTATAATAAAATTTATTCCTGACCCAACTTCTAACAACAAACAAACACGTGGTACAAACTCAGCAAATTTATATATATATATATATTTATATAATTATAATAATATTTAATCAATAATTATAATAAAGAAAAATATACAAGTTTTGTCTACTATATCTAGATCTGTTCTTCATAAATAACAAATACTACAGATTCTTATATCTAAAATTCTGAAAAAAAGGGGAGATCGCCCTAAATGCGATGAAAACAAAAATGAAGAAAAATCCTACAAAGATGTTACATTTATTTAAGAACTATTCATACTAGTTGATCTATTACTAGTTATCATTTTGAAGGTGAATTTTATATTACACGAGATCCAAGCATAAAAATACTGTAAAAAAGCAAATCAAGATGACAATTTTTTTCCTATTTCTTGGCTTAACCACCTTTCAACTTGACATTTCCATTCTGTTGAGTACTTATCAATATAGTCATCCAATATGGAAACTTGGTTTTATAGCTAATACTCGTACTCAGTTGACATTACAATCACAATGAAATAATGCAGGTCACATGACCACTTACAAACTGTTAAACTTAAACTTCAGAAAACGACACCATTCTCACTTATTTTTTTTTAGAATACAAGAATCTGTAGTAAATGTGAGAAGTGTTCAACATGTTTACAACATTCACAATTCTCCATGCATGTCCAACAAATAACAACATCAAATATCTACCCCAGCTACTCACTAATAACATTTTCTTTGTATTTCATTTTTTTTTTTTGGAAAAAAAAAAAAGGTAGAGAAAAAGTTGCATACTTTTTCTTTCACCTTTCTGCCGACAGATTCTGTGTGAAAACATTGTCAAGTTTTCAAGCCACGTTCAAAGTCAAGATAAAAAAGAACAGCCTAGAGCTGTCAACTGTATAGATTTCTGTCACACTACACATTATGTGCTGGTTGCCATGACAATATACTCATGGCATCATGACAACAATATATTCATGGCATATCATGATGCACATTTTGTATTGTAACTCCAAACTGGCATCTTATGTTTTAATGAATCAACAATATGATTTTCTATATTAATTTATAATTGAGATCATAAAACTGTCTATGAAAATTATAAATATTTCAGCTTGAAAGGAAACCTTGTAGCTTCTATGGCCCAAGTAAAGTGCTTTTCCTGCACTTACAAGAATTTGTGTCATGTGACAATAGTCAAGGAACAAGTAAGGCTCCAACATAGGCCCCAGTTTTAACCTAGATGTTTGCCATTTTTTCTGTTTAAAATGTTTCTGTTATCATATTCTAATAACGTGCCAAGTTTAAAGAACAGTTTTAATTTTGCCTATATGTCTATATGAAAACTCAGGAAAATGTCTTTAATCTATGTTCAGACATTAACCTATATTCCGGCTTTAACCTATGTTCAGACCTTTACCTAGATTCCAGGTTTAATCAAGCTTCTCGGCAGTTACCTCAACAATAAAGGAAAGAGGTTGTGAACTTTCTCACTGTAAAATCTTCGTATCTTCTTTGTTTCTAATTATGTATTATGTAAAGTGTAATTAATTAAGGTAACAACAAATCAAAAGGCATTCAATTAACCATTATCCAATCAAAAGTATCAATCTTTGAATTTAAAGTAGTAAAGTTAAATGACTGTTAACTTTAAGACTATTTCATTATTATTCAATTTCTGAAGAGATTCAGCAGAAAATAATGTTTTTTTCTTACACAATAACAAAATTTTTGATCAATTAAAAACATGATATGTTGCAAGTCTTTACTTCAAAATACTAACTCATGATAAACATCAAAGGTTTAAGGATCTAGTACATGTATATAATTATACCCATTGTGGATAAATTTAAAATTCAATCTCAATTTTTGACCATTACATGCATGTTTCTTACAGATTTCAAATGAAGTTAACATACGAGGGAAATCGAGAAATATTTTTCTACATTGTTTACCCTCCTTTTCTTCCCAGGTTAAGTTCTATACATGTATTAAATACCAATTTTCAAAAAAGTAACCTGTAAGTAATTATATACATGTACCTTAAAATGAAGCTACTGTACTTTTCTTAAATACAATAGTTTCATAAATCCAATTCTACCTTATGAAAACTGCACACTTTTACTCCCTTACTTAAGTTCCTTTTACATATATATCACCCCTTTTACATCATAAATAATATCACCCTCTCTCATTTTCAAAAAAGCTTATTTTCGACTTCATCACCGTTATTATTATATAAAGGGGGTGGTTGTGTATACATTGTACAAATTAATACTTTTATAAATATTCTCATCACTTTACAATCATTATAATATAATCCCTATAAACTGTTGCTGTTTTACTTACACAAGTACTAGTACACAACTTGAGAGCTTACTGCAATACTTATCATACATTCATGTTTCAACGTGTTCAATAAATTTAGTATCAAACTTACGCGAATTTAATATTCTATTTATCACAGACCAAAAATAAAGACCGTTTGAAGTGAAAAATCATCATTTTTCATTGATGCGCCTTTGGCATAACCCTATCATTTAGCGCATTGTAACGCTATGTTTATAACGAAAATAACGTTGCTTCAAAATATATGCATTACCGTGCAATACCATTTTTACAGAGTTGTAAAAGCGGCACAGGTGTGTGATAATGTATGTGTACCCTGTTTTTGTACAATGGCCTACAAAATACAAGCTATAAATACCACATAATAGTCAAGTCAGATTGATTATAAGTGACGACTGGCCTAATTCTTTGTTAGTGTATATTATCATAATGTATTTAAGTGGTGGTAAAGGCAAGTTATTGTAACCACTATCATACCAAATTATGCCAGTATTGCAACAAACTCTCAACTTTTTTTCAAAATCATTTAAAACATAGGTAAAGAAGCTACATGCAGTTTTTTTTTACCATGCAGTTTTTTTCTATATTTCAAACAGCCATTATGGAAACTTTTGCTCACAAAATGTAGGTAAATTTCAAAATGATGTCACATTTATTCTCCTTCAGTTTCATTTACACTGATTTTTTTTTCAAGTTATGACACATTCAGAGAAAAAGAAACATGTACAAGATCTCAATTTCCACATTTCATATATTTGCTTTTATATTCCAAAAATTGGCGTTTTTTTCCAAAAAAAAGAGTTTTAATGAGGATGATATTCTATTTATAGAAATGGCCACTTTATGAATGAACGATCAGGATTCCTCATTTCCAGAATCGTCGTCGTCATCGTAATACATATCATCATCATCATCGTCATCATCAGCGTAATCGTCATCATAAAAGTCAACATCGGTTAAAGATTCATTTTTGGGTGCTGTAGAAACACAATATTCTTGCAATGTTAGTGGAACTTTCACGTTGTCTTTCTCTGCTTCTTCCTTTGTTCCAAGCACCTGTTTTCTGTAATACATAAACAGTGAGATATATTATCAGAAATTTAACCCAAAACCCGGGATTCCCTAAAATTACTTTTCGACTTTGCTTGGTGCTTCAACTTTTCATGGCACAGATAACCACATCAAAAATTAACTTAAAACGATGTGACGACTACAATGTTTAAAAAAAGGTTTAAATTTAAATTTCAAAGATACTAACGAAAATTCTTGAATTTGGATTGTTCAATAGTAAAATAAGGGAATATCTATGCCAAAAATACTTGACTTTTTACAAAGTCCTTTGGTTAGATTTTAAAAAAATTACAGATTTACCTGGCCCAAACTTGTGGGAAAATTTAAATCTTTATGGCCACTTCTATTTACAGGTTCAATAACAGTTAAAGGATTGTAAGCAATCAATTAGGCCAATGAAGCTGTATAAATAATTGCACCTCAAGGAATATAACAAGAAAAAGAACAAAAAAATTCAATAAGAGTACGAAATTTTTGTTCACAAACCGTATAATAGTTTCATATTCTTTATCCTTTCCTCTTGAATCCTTCCATTTTCTGTACATAACTGAGGCATCTACGTTGGCAGGTGAGAATGTGTTCGGCTCATTCAAGAGGGATATTATACTGAGCAATATTGTTCTAAAACAACAATAACATGATAAATATTAAGTAAAACTCAGTGAAAAACATGTCAAAATGAACATCCTGTCAAATTGAGAATCATGTCAAAATGAACATCATGTCAAATAACATATTTTCAAAATGAAAATCATGTCAAAATGAAAATGATGTTAAATGAAAATTATGTCAAAATGAAGATCATGTTAAAATAAAAATCATGTAACAATGAAAAACATGTTAAAATGAACATCATGATGAAATGAACAAAATGTCAAAACAAATTACTAGTGCAAATAACTTTTTATGACCCATATTATCATCAAAAGTTGAATGCAAACACTTCAGAGTTACGTATTTGACAATACTACAAGATACTGAGCACCAATGGTCTACAAAAACATGATGATGACCATGATATTAAACTTGAACCTCATGTCAAAATAGTGACATCCAATGAGATATGATACAATATTCTGAAAATGACCAACATTACATGTATGTGAAAACAATTCACTGAGGATGGACACGTGAAAAACAATTTTTTTTTTGCAAAATTATACTATATTCTTGAGAGATCGTTTTTCTTAGAAAGAAAATACAACAGAAGGTAATATTTAACATAAAAAATAAGGACTATAGTTTTGTCATTACCTGACATTTTGTGTTGGATTCCATCTTTCAGATGGCTCCTCCCCACTCTGTGGATCGTCTATTGGTGGGTGAAGTATAGATATACACACATCTCCGTTCTATAATCACAAAAATATGATTACAACACATTTAGAACAAATCCAAAGTTCAATATAAAGTATGAAACATTTATCATTAAAGTTTAATGAACTGAATTTTAATAATCTCATTTGCAAATAAAAGCTCAAGAAAGTCAATGTCTGATTTTCTATACAAGTTTTCATAATTTTCAATTTATGAATATTCTTCACTTTGAAAAGTAACATTATCAAGAGGCTGAGCCCTTTTCCAATTGAGTTATTTCTGAAATAATGAAGTCAATGACTCAATGTATTAAGACTGATTACTGTGTAATCACATTTAATTTTACTCTATCCTCCTCAAGCTCTGACAATCTATGTGCACCATATAATGGCTAAAATGGAGTTAAAAGTCTTGAAGAATTTAGAAGATTAATCACCAAGCATGGCTTGGTCCATACTGTATAGTGCAGATATTTTATTATTTATCTACCTGTAAATGTCAATCTATAAAGGAGAGCACATATTCAATATAAAGGTCAAACACCTATAGGCCATTTCAGTTATACAATTGTTTATAACTTAACCTGCATAATTATATATAAGTACACTAATTCTTTTAACAATAGTTAACTTGACTGTAAAATGTTTACAACTCTCTAGGCTTTATTGGGTATCATAAGGCAAATACAGCATAACAGATAACATTGATCTTGTAGATCTATCAGAACATTCTAAGATGAAACTGATGAACCAGATGCATCAATGAGTCTAAAGTTTCTAAATGAGCCTTAAGCATAAATGGGTCTCAGGTTTCAAAATTACCTCAAAGTGGACAACAACTTGAGACAAGAATTGGTACTGTATTTAAATTCTAGCAACCACTCCATTTTATTGATTTATAGGTAAATCATATATTTATAAGTCAAAATCTAGTCAAAACAATATATAACATGATAGCAACAAAGAAACAAAAAGAAATGTCAAGGTTTAACCAAACCTTGACATTGTGTAAGCAGAAAAAATGAAACTGTGAAATGCAAATATCACATTTAATAAAATTTTCCCACTTTTGACAAAGACTTCGCCTGACACAAAATTATGTTAAAGTGTGAAAGCAATATTAAGACTTGTCTCTGGAGTTAAAAAAAAAGCATTATTTAACAAGAACTGTTGGTAGGACAACTATTTACATTCATGTATATTATTTAAAAAACAATCAAGGATAATGCATATAATAGAACTCATACATGTTTAAGACAACTGAAAAAAAAATACAAAAAACTCCCAGTCCCAAATAGTCTATCCTCAACCCATCATCCCCCAAAAGATTAAAAAAGAACACAATAAATAATGGAAAATGGCCATGTGATCACATGGGGATCATAAAAAACTTTTGTTAGATATACTTACTTCATATACATTTGGATGCCACATCTTTGTAAGAAATTTGACACTTGGTGGGGAATAAGGATAATCTGATGGGAATTTCATTGCAGCCTGAAAGTGAATTTTACAAATATATAAAAATATATATGCATTTGCTTATTTTGTTTTGTTTTCAAGCCATATTTACATGCCCTAAATCAATTGCTTTATTAATCCGAAAGTTTCTTTATTCTTTTACCTTGCTAAAGAAAATTCTTGTGTTAAGTTTTGTTTCATTTTGATTGTTTTTACTAAGACAAACATTTTATAAGCAAGCATATGTATATAGCATGATTTGCTAAGTAAATATAACCCTCTATGATGGAAAAAACCATTTTCAATTGTTCCTATCTATCTATCTATCTATCTCTGGATACTGCCAACCCCTCTTACAAGTGTTACAGGCAGGTATACATTGTATACATTTAAGAAACAGCTTTAAGATACAAGGGAATCTGGGAACCAGTCCCTAGCTCTTATTGAATAGACCCCTTGGTTCTTTTACATGCCCAGTGTATAGCACTGATACATGCGAGGATTTCCTGGATTTCTTACCAGTACACCTTTATGTAGGTGGGAAACACTGAAAGTGTCTCTGAAAAATCCCAAGGGTGTAACCCAGGATCGAAACCGGGACCTCAGGAGTGATAGTCAGTGGTTTAACCAACTGAGCTATCGCGCCACCTATTATGTATATATGTTTGGTCATTTGATTTTTTACTGACAAATCGCTGATACAGATAATCACCAGTTTGCCTTTACATTGACTACACAGAGAACTGTCAACATCAATGAGCAAAAATGCATGAATGTGTCTAATAATTCTGTCACAAAAATCATTAATATTTAATTCCAAAAGACCTTGTTAGAAACATTTGTCTTGTGTCTCTGACCACTTAAGTCACAGTTGGAAGTTTTGTATATATAAGGTACCGGTAGTCTATCAGTTCATCCTCTGTTAAAATGACACTCTCCATGATTAGCTCATTAATGTTATTCTACAGCCCCGCACATGGGCATGTTAAAATGGTCACTTTTTGGGATATATAACATTTTTAGCACAATATACATACTGCACTTAGAACTCTTTTATCTCTAGAAAAAGCAGGATCAGATAAACACGGCCAATATGATATTACATTATAGATAAAAGCCAACATCATAACTATCTTTAAAAATCTTTTCTGGTTGTCCATATCAATTGAAAGCCCTGTTTGCTACATGTTTATTTCTTATTGATATTATTTCAAATTTATCTGAGTTAACATAAAAAATCAATGGCTTAACAATACGAATAATTGCTTAATAAGTCATTTGTATGATGACCATGGTTGTGTTCAACTGCCTGAATTATACGGGAAATCTGGCCTGGCTTTAGACTACACATGTATATTTAAAAGGAAATCAAAATTAATAAAAGCAATTACAGAATATATAGAATTCTATACGGTTACCTATCAATAAAATTTTCAGTGTCAATTCTAGTTGGGTGCCGCCATATAATTTAGTGATTACATGCAGGGTATTGCTATAACGGAATAATTGCAACTTTTTACATAAATAACAATGTTGAGTGTACCGAGTGAAAACGAAGGCGGTTCATCAAATACCGAATGACACCTTTATAACAGAAAAACGAACAATTTTTTTACTGACTTCCCCGTTTATAGACTTTGCCAATTTCATATTAATAATAAATATTGAATATAACTTTGTGAATCAGCAGTAATGGCCCATTTGCATAATTATGCTTAAAGTACCTTACCTAAAAACAAAGATGATTGCCACTCATATGAGGTCCTTTACAGAGTTTTTTTTATTCAGTTAAAACTTTCTTTAAAATCTACCAGGATATCTATTTTATAATAAATTATTCATTTGAACATTGTCAACCTCCTCTATAACCTATTAGTATTACAAATGATCTGTTTAAATGTTTCCAAATGGGTGTTTGATTAAAATTGTGCATCCTTTCTTTAAAAATCAACTATAAAACTGAATCATAAATTCATGTCCTTACATCCATTTCCTGATATGATGTCATATTTTGTTTAATTTTGTAAACAAAGAAAACAAAGGGAAGTTATTGGTTTCAACATATGAAGTAGAGTTATATTCATAAAATTTCGACAAAATGAATAAAAAATAGATCAATAAATCAAACCTTGAAATATCCACCCTCATAAAGGGTGCCAGGAGGTCCAAAAATTGCCACTTCCCACTCAAACAAATTTTCATCGTCAACCAGTTTCACACGAAACCCTTCGACGGGCTCACTAACAATTTTCTTTAGTTCAAGCTGTAGAGCCTTAACGGCTCCGCTTGTGGGACTTTGTGCCATTTGTTACAATCTATATTTACTATTTTTTATATGATTGTCTGAAAAAAGAGCCGAATAACGCTACTGTTTGGCTTCAATCACAGACGACTTTCCCTTTTGTTTCTATCGCAGCGCAGTAATGGCGATTATGACGTCATAGACGGCAGTGATAGTCGTAAATAAAAACAAATAAAATATAGATATATATATTTAAGATCATTATTGTCGGGTGGATATAAGAACAATTTTACAATTGATATCACAGTTTAGATCTACAGTTAACTAATTTTTTGCAACATAAAAATGTAAGCGGACGACATCTACCGAAAACCGCATGAACTTCCGGGGTTGATGATAATGAAGAGAAAAAGAGTAGATTTATTTAATTAATGTAATTTGAGGATGGCAGCCTCCAATCTTAGTGCAGAAGAAGAAAAGGTAAAATTTAATAACAAACTTTTTTTTTTTTGCTTATCTAATATTTGAAACTGAGCTCAAAATTTTTGACATTTAGGAATGAAATTTTGTAATATTTTTGATAGATCTATTTCAGTACGGTATGCCTAAAATACGAAAGTAAGATTTTTGGTCAGATTTTTGACGAAAGTGAGCGAAAGTGACTTTTAAAATAGTAATTATAACATTTTAATAGACTTTTAAAACAAACTTGCAGTTTGTAGACATATATTATTAGAAAATAATTATATTTATTAACAGAAATAATCATAATGATGATTTAATCGCTACTAATTTGCATAATTTCTATACTGCAGTACACAAGTTCTTATATCTTCCTTTCGTTCACATTGAAAAATACGAAAGTGACTTATAAAATATTAAATATTCTGTTTTAATTGAAATTTTTACTAAAATTACAATTTGTAGATGTATATTATCAGAACTTGATGATACCTATTTTTTAAAATAATCATTATGATGATTTAATCGCTATTTATTTGCATTATTTTTAGACACAAGTTCAGATATCTTCCTTCGCTCAGATTGAAAAAATACGAAAGTGACTTCAAAATATCGAATATAGCGATTAATTTGAATCTATATAATTATAAAAGATTGTAGACGTATAGTTTTGGAATTTGATCGATAATATCTATTTTTAAAAATTATCATTATGATGATTTAATCGCCATTTATTTGCATAATTTCTATACACAAGTTCAGAAATCTTCCTTTCGCTCACATTGAAAAATACTAAAGTGACATATAAAATATTAAATATACTGGTTAAGTTGATTTTTTACTAAAATTTCTCTAAGTAGACGTATACTATCAGAAATTGATAATATTCATTTTCAAAAACAATCATTATATATGATGATTTAATTGCTATTTATTTGCGTAATTTCTATACACAACTACATAGATCTTCCTTTCGCTCACATTGAAAATACGAAAGTGACTTATAAAACATTCAATATACCGTTTATTTTGAATTTATATCAATACAACAGTTTGTAGACACATAGTTTCAGAAATGAATAAAAAATACTTAAAAATCATTATGAGGTTTTAATATTCATGCATTTTCATTATTTCTATATAGCAATTTCAGAGATCTTACTTTCGCTCACTTTCGTATTTTCAATGTTAAGGAGAGGAAGCGAAAGTGATTTTAAAAATATCAAATATAGCGTTTTAATTGCACTTAATATTAATAATGCAGTTTGTAGACATATATTATCAAAACTAGTATCTTTAATCAATATGATTTGATCTTCATTTATTAGCATAATATTTATACACAAGCTCAGACATTGATCTTCCTTTCGCTTACTGTGAGCCTGACGAAAGTGACTTACAGAATATCAAATATAGCGTTGAAATAGGATTTCGTGATAATATTGCAGTTTGTAGATGTATCTTATAAGCTATAGTAACTATCATTTTTATAAAACTTAATATGTTAAGATGAAAAATGAAATTTATTATGTAAACTATAATTGTCAAAAACATGAATTATACAATTTATGCGTTAGGGCTCCGATTTACAGGTCTCAATTTCTTACATCGTCTTTTTCGGGCAGTTTTTAATTTTTGATTAACGATGGTGTTACCTAACATTTAATATTCTGTTTATATATCATACATGTCATATTGTAATTATACTGTTTGATTCTAATCTAACAGTAATAGGTCTTGAATGTGTTTCTCATTATTATTATGTCTCTTGAAATTCTTAAATGGAATGGTCTTATGTAGGTTTTATGTGAATAGTTGTATATATGTTTGAAAATGCATGTATACGAATGAGACAAAATAAAGTATGAATATGTTTACATGCAAACACGTGTTGTCATATCATTTTCGCACCCACTTTAATTGATAGTACACACGACGGTGACCGCATGACGCTTTAATCCCACTAAAGTATTATTATAATCCAATCATAGGTATGTAACTGATGACACTTGCCCGGTTGTTTATTGAGTGGACAATTGAATTAACCTTTCTTCTGCACCACCATAGATATCTTGCATGGATTAAAGTGGCAGTTATTGTGCTCATCCAGGTGTAGATGAGCAATGTACATGTTAATTTGAAAAATAATTTGGAATTTCCCATCATTATGTTAAAATGATATTTCACTATGAAAAAAGGAAATAAGTAATCCACGGAATTTTCTATAAATATCGTACTATATATATCGGTAAAGTTCAATCTTTTTATAAGTTTGGATTTTTTTTTATATTTTGTGCTAGTCATTTCATCATCAATTATAGGTCAATCACCATGAAAACATGAATAATAATGAAAATGACTCATTTATTTTTTTATTATAAAAAACATTAATGTCGTGAATATTGACATTGACTTTCGTCCGATTAAGTCACTTTCGTATTGTTCAATGTGGGCAAAAGTAAGATATCAGAACAGGTATACAGCAATTATGAAAATACATGGATATTAAATCATCATAATGATTATTTTTTTTAATATATTTTATTCATTTCTGAAAACATGCGTCTTTCAGCGCTATATTTGACATTTTTGAAGTCACTTTCGTATTTTTCAATGTGAGGGAAAGGAAGATCTGTTAACTTGTGTAATGCAAATAAAGGGCGGTTAAATCATCATAATGATTATTTTTAAAAATAAATATAATTGACTTCTGATATTGTACGTCTACAAATTAATTGCAATTTTAGTAATACATTCAATTTAAACAGTATATTTGATATTTTGTAAGCCACTTTCGTATTTTTCAATGCGAGCAAAAGGAAGATCTCTGTATATAACTTGTGTATATAGATTATGCAAAATAAATGGCGATTTAATCATCATAAAGATTATCTTTGAAAGTAAATATTATCATTTTCTGATATCATACTTCCACTTTGTGCAATAATAGTAAAAATAATTTCAATTTAAATGGTATATTTTATATTTTATAAGTCACTTTCGTATTTTTCAATATAAGCGAAAGGAAGATATAAGAATTTGTGTATATAAATTATGCAAATAAAAACCGAATAAATCATCATTATGATTATTTTTCATAATAAATATAAGTAATTTCTAATAATATACGTCTACAAACTGCAATTTTATTGTAAAAGTCTATTAAAACGTTACAATTAATATTTTAAAAGTCACTTTCGCTCACTTTCGTCAAAAATGTCACTTTCGTATTTTAGGCAAACCCATTTCAGTATCTGTTTTACTTTTAAATAATATTTTTTCAAGCTTGTTAAAATATTTCATGTATTTCAGGGTAATAAGCAAGAAATTTTATTTTTTCCATTTTTATCATAACTTACTGTCATTATGATTAACATAATATGAATAAGGCAAAGCCTCAAAGAAAGTTCTTTAAAAAAAAATTATAGAACTTTTTAATACAACCATATTTATTAAACCTATCGCCGGCTGCTCAGTAGTGCTCAGTTTAAACTACACCTTTACTTAACAGTTTTTAATATGAAAAAGGCAAAGACTCAAAGCGAGCTTGATTTTCTTTTACCGTGAAATAGTATAAAATTATCGTTCATTTTTATTTTGCATTTTCTGTTTTAAAATTGTTATTAGGTATTTTATACACTGCTTCTGTTTATTCTGGTTCCCTGTCCTTTAATGGTTTCCCTTTCCTTTTATGGTTTCCATGTAAGTGCACAGGACACCAGTCGCTTCTGTTTCCAATCAGAATACCTCGGCTTTTATCCTTATCTTGTAATTCAAAAAGTTGCGATGTGTCAAATCGGTACTTCGAACGAAAGTTTTCAAAACCATCACTATCTAACAGGTACTCGTGTTACCGTAAAGCTCGCTTTGCAAGCAGGCCCTTCGAGCTTGCTATTTTATTGTACTTAGACATTTTAACTATACAGAACACTTTTGGTCACACAATTCACTCAACCACTATTTTTACTTTTGAAATATGGCTATTTCATATTTTATATGATATCTACCTGTCAGATAACATAAATTCACTTAAAATCCTATATTGGGATTAATAATTCCATTTCGGTAAAAGGATATGGCAAAACCGTAACATACCACAAGTTGATATTGCCACAGCATCTATTTCTTCTTAATTTTATTGATAAGATGCATATAAAGGATGTTTTTTAATTATATATTAAAAGTATGAAAAGTACAATACAGCAATATGTTATTAAATAAACCCAGTTTTACCAAGATGGACCAGTAAATAGTAAATTTGAGTCATGTGTTTTTGATAAATTTTAACTATTTTTGTTTATCAAAGTGCAGGGCAACTAATTTGTGAGAGCAAGTAAATTTATAGGGTCACTTGCCCTGCATCTAGACAAAACAGTCCATTGTTTTCCAAATACATGTATATATATAAGTTATGTTAACTGTAGAGGAATACCATTGTGTTTTCAAATCTTTGTTCTACTCTTGTAAATAAGTGATTTTTTATGTTACAGGAAATTTATTTTCAGCTATAGGGGAAAAAAATACTTTTTGAGGAGTGGAATGGGGCTGAATTTGCCCTAGAAAAGCACTCATAGTATCATCTAACATCATCGGAAGTGGCTTAGCTTTGAACTCTTTTTTATTGATAGTTATGATGGAAGCACAAAATTTAATATCAAGTTTTATCCAATAAGCTTTTCAAAAAATTACTCTTTAAGTGACATTAATTTATGCCCATCCAAGTGTAAATGGTGA